GGGTCAGGAACCGTATACAACCACAAAGAAAAGAATTCACAAGATTCTAAAATATTGATCCACACTGTAGGTCTGGAAAGTGTTGCTGGTAAATATGTACATACTCTATCTAACCTTCCAAAACTTCAGACTGCTGGTTTCTATAGAAGGAATGTGGTTGATGCTACCCACTACACATATACACACTACTATATAGCTTCTCACTCCAGCGTTGATATCACCTGCCAGAAGATCTATGGGGCTCACCACAGGGTTTGTAACACACCAAACTTGTATCTGTTTCTGGATTTATTTTCTATTTGGTAGGAAGCTTCACTTTGTAAATGGTGTTTAATTTGATATGTTATCAAAATGATATACTCTTCTTTTCTATAAAACAAAACACCTTGTCAATAAAAACAGATTTTTTTCTTGTTTCCCGCAGGTTTTCAAGAGTTCAAAAACACTTATTATGATGTTAGAAATGAAGTTTAGAATTTTATATCAATGACACTTCCAAAAAAAAAAAAATTTGTCGACATGCTCATCAGTTTTTCGGGTTATATTTCCGACTCATACAGTTAAATGAATCTATCCACAATATTGTCAGGTAAAAACCCCTGACAATCTTTTATGAGAAAGTAGCATCGTTCCATACTACACTAAGAAATTATGCACCTGTGGAAAGCTTACTGCACATGTGTATGGAATTTTAAGTGCCATAAAAATGTGTTTTCTGATATACTGATGATGTTTTCATAATAACAAGTCTGTTAATAACCCTAACAGAAAATCTGCGGGAAATCCTGCTAAGGTGGTATGAGGGAAGTCCTCAACTGAAAGTATAGAAAAAAACTCTTTGGATATTTTACCCATGGGAACCCCATCTAGAATACATACATACTAGCAATACACAAAGAGAGATTAAATACATCTATATACAGAGGGCGGTAACAGAATTTGTCCAGCAATTACATGAGGAAGTCTTAAATTACAAGTAGAGAAAAATACACAATATGCAACAGAAATTTACATAATATATAACAAATTTTATCTATATCCAGAAAAAAAAATATGAAATAAAAATCCACAAATCACAAACGACTTGCGTTTTGAGACAAGATTGGACCCTGAAATTTGTATTTTCTATTACAAACTTGACATGACAATGCAGCATTTTACCATACATAGCACTATGGCATCACTTCCAGATTAATGTATATACCTACATTTATTTCTACCTGGGTCGTCAATTTCATGTGAACAAAACATATGGACAGATTTAAAGCATGGCAACAATATCATGGCAAAACTCTTTTCTAAAAGTGTCTTTTGATCAGCCAAATAATGCAGAAATTCACTGTCTTCCATTCTATCTACTACAAAAGACAGGAAATTCCACTGCTTCTTTCCTATGGCTTTCAAAGAAATCTTTTATCTTTCTTTCCATATATAACTTTGAGTCCAGAAAGTAACAAACATATTTCATACTCAGGCATCACCTACACCTTTAGTACCTTGGCCAAATAAAAATCCTGATTAATTTTGTGTTTGGGCCATGAAACTGTTGCCTTCAATACAAAAGCTGATGATGGTTACAGCAATGTTTAGATGACAATGCGATGACAATTCAATGACACACTATTTCACTACTATATTACTACATTGACATTTGTGACTAAAACCAATGGCAATCAATCAACATGGTAATATATTAACATGACACTGTACAAACAGTTACCCCCAAAGGGGCCCCAATATAAATCTTACAATATCTTAATAATTGTATGTATATATATAGGTATACTACTACGAACAGTTGCCCCCAAGAGGGCCTCTGTCCTATAAGTCTTACGATATCTTCATAAGATCTTATGTATACCACTACAACAAGGTATATTAAATATTACAATTTATCAACATCATCATAATAAAACAATCATTTTTCCTTGACAAAGTATATAAAAACATATGTACATACATGTTCAGACGCCACTGGTTCAATATCTCTCACTGTGACGTCATACGACGTAAACCACAGTAGGCTATTATGGTAGAGATTTGTATCATAACTTGTCTGTACAGCATCAATCAGGCGATTATTGTTTATAACACCAAGTGACCAAATGTTAACAAACCCTTCATTACAGTAGGCCCATAAATGGTAAATTCCGATGCGTATATAACATTATGCATGAACTGCTTGCGTAATTTTAAAAAACCTAGATCTGAAATGGTTTCAGTGACATGACATGACTGATAAGTTTGATACATCAATTATGGTACAAATCTCAACCGAGCGGTCTGCTTACAGGAAACCAGATCCACCATTCACAATACTCACACAAAATCACATCAAACACTCATGTATAAGTGAAGGGATGAAGAGTAACAAATCAGCTGTATTGGTTTAGATACAATAAACAGGTGTAATCACATATCATTAAATATTCATTACTTAAATGGTTTTTACTTTTTTTTTTTTAATTTCACTTTCTTGTAGTTTTTTTTATTTCTATATGTATAGATATAATATTTTTTCTTCATTTCTATACCTTGCATCACCAATCCTGATCAACACAACAGATATCTATAATATTGTCTCCCTTTAATTCTACATAATCAACCATTAATTAGTTTTTTTGTCAAGTTCATCCAGGTAAAACAGTTTTAAACAGCAGTATATACATAAATATTTGAAATAGATTAAATTCAAAAAAATATCTTAAGTACCACCTGATGTTAAGTAATAAAGTTATTCATGCAATCTAGATTTCTGTACAATACGGAATCTCATAGATCATATCCTACAAACTCAGCGCATAGACTCGACAAATCTTGTAGATCAAGGCGATACCTATCATTGTTGACCTGTTCCTGCGAGTTGTTACGAATTTAGAAGCTTCTTTGACCTCTAAGTATAGGATATGGTCTGTGAGATAGATAAAATGATATTGCTTTACATTTCAACTGGTTTTCAAAAACATGCCATAAAAACTTCATGAGGAAGAACTCTTTGTCTGTATGTATAAGTTAAGCAAATATTAGGGTTACTATATCATTCAACCCAACAGCAGATAATTATTCAATAACTTGCAAAATTTCACTGCAAATATTGACTGAATTTTCATACATGACCAAAAAAAAAGGAAAAGATATTTAAAAATCCATAAAATTTATCAAACCAGACTATGTACATCATTTTTACAAATAAAACAATAAGAATCTTGTTATGTCTGTGATGTATAACAATGGTAACTACACAACAGATGTAGCCATAGCAACTACCAGGTCTACAACAATACGCCGAGAGACAGACAGCCTTAAACGTGGTTAACATGTTCTTAGGGTAAAAAAAGGACCTCCTCCAGTATATATCATTGTAAATAATTTGACCTCCCCCAGTATATGACTGTAAATAATTCGACCTTCCGCGGTATATATGACTATAAATAATTTTACCTCCCCAGTATATATCATAGTAAATAACCTACCCAGTAGATAATACTGAAGGTTTAATGGTGTAATGGCTGTATCTGTTGCTGCCCATGGCAACAGTTGCTATGGCCACCACTACAATCACAGGATCATGATATTTAAAGAGACAAAATCATTATTGCTATCTGACTGAACGTCGGGTAAACAACCAATGTTGTTTTTACCTGACTACAGGTTACAAAATCCATAGTTAAACTTAACAGATTTTAATAAACAAAGTTTTGCACAATCTGGGAGAATTTCACACAGGCACATCAAAATAAAAAGTCTGCACAACCAAAAAATAAGATTCGTCCCAAAACCTCCCAGTTCATCATCACTCATTCTACCTCAGAACAATGTGGTGTAAAACTGCTGTGTTTGACCAGCTAACTGGTCTAAAGTTTTCTTCTTCGTCTAGCTTTGACTACAACATTACACGAACAAACTGATTGCTCTTTCATTAGAAATTAAAAAAAATTGTATAAAAAAAAAATTTTAACATATCCTTAAAGTAATTTTGCGTATTTCAAAAATATTTTAGAATAAACCCTAAATGGCCAACTCTAAAATTAGCACTCCATTTTAAGCCTATAAATCATTGCTTCTTATGTCAGATTAAAATAGTGATGTCATTGGTATATGGCAGGGTTTAAACAGTCTGCTTGCAGTAGATTAAACTTAAAAAGGTCTTTTATTGCTGGTTAAAACTCATATTGAACACAACTTCTGAACTTAAAAGAAACAAAGGCAGGCAGAAGTGAAAAACAACCGTAACAAAATGATTAAATTCCTGCATAATGTACAAACAAACATCAGTGGTAAAGTTCTTCTTTATGTACATTTCTTATCGCAAAGTTTCAACAAATCAAAAATAAGAAAAAATTACTTAAAATCAGCAAATAAAACTCAAAATATACACATACATGACAAAAGAATATACAAAATGAGGTTTGGAAGGTCACAATCGGCGAAAATTATTACAAGATGGAAGCAAAATCTTCTAATCTAATGAATAAGGCAAAAATAAAGAGAAAAATGCAGTTATCATATATATATATTTGGGTTTTATGTGTTAAAATGTATACAAATTATTATGATGTGATCAATTTATAACAATTAACAGAAAAAGTGCCCTTCGGTAAAATGCTCAGGCGCTGATGATAAAACTGGTCACATTCACTAGAGATGAAATGTAAAAATGGAATAATTTAGAACACAAAATAATGTAAGACAATTCAAATAAAACATGACCTGTGTACCTTCCATTTACTCAAAAAATTAAGATCGAGATATAAAAATGGTCTTCTAAAATAGCTGTTCACAGCCTCCAGGGGACAGATCAACCATCCCTCTGATGCCAAACTTGTCTGCGATAAAATGCTTTTGTTTGTTATTTAGTCTGAAATAAGAAAAAAAAAGTTGTCAATTTCATAACAAACTAATCATCATAAAGAACGTCAGAAGAATTGAATGTCATTAATATTGATCTGTGTAAAATGTCAGTGTGAAGGATACATGTCTTACCTGCATCGACTTGGGTTTTAGTGGTAACCATTCTGGAAGTTTGTGGCTATAAGCTGACCCTGAAATATGTACAAATACATTACTTATTCGAGAAACCAGTTTCCAATTCTATACTCTAACTAAAGGCAATCACCTTCCCTACAGATGAATATAAAGTTGCTAGGGTATGTTTTCTAATATTGATGATTTAATAGCTGTTTATGGTTCATTTTATCTAAACTCCGTCCTTAGGGCATCACAGCTGGGAAGATGGATCAGTCTTAAAGGGCAAACTCACCATACAAATATTCATGATTACACGGACAAGAAAATCTATCATCGATAAAAGAAAATTTATTGAATGGATGGAAATATACTTCAATGAACCTGGTTTAATTAAGTTTCTTATCTGTCATGTGAAAGGCACTCCTATCAAGATTAAGAAAAAGAAAGTAAAGATTTGCGACCATGTTGCAGTAAGTTACTCATCAGTTAGGATGTAAAATATTTAAGATGCACCTGATGGGATAATCATCTTTTGACAATAAATCCTGGTGGAATAACATGATCCTTATGTTGATATAAATTGTACTTAAGGAGGTATGCCACCTAACTGCTAATTATCAGAGTTATCTGCCTCAAACTTTATGAAATGTTAGCATGGTCATTCTTGTCTTTTCATAACTGTGATATCAAAATGTGGAGTACATAGTTAAAGTATTATAAAGTCAGAATTTAGTAACGAGCTGTCTTGAAAAATACAAGTTGTTCATAGTTAACATTAAAATGTAAAGTGACCCTGTAGGAAAGCAAAGTTTAATGTTCAAATGTCAGGTGACCTGTACATGGTGCAAGTGAGGAAAGGGGAAAAACCCTGGGCAAGGACAGTGACAGAGAGAGTGAAAGAAACTGCAAGAATATGTACAGTTTTACAATCAATCACAGTTTTCTTACTGGGAAGGATACTCACAGCTAGGTTGTGGCCAAAGCTTGATGGCTGGGGACTGGTGGCCTGAATATAGCTAAGACCATCCTGGCTGTACAGGTCGCATGGTCCAGGGCTGTTGGCTAGCGGGATGCCGCGACTGCTGGTGGCGGGAGAGGTAGCAGTGGGGAAGGCTTGTTGTTGTCCAAGGTTATTTATCACAGCTGCAAACAAAATTAACATGCAAGGTCAAGGGTCAGTGTCGATGTTCCTATGGACTGAAAACACTGAAAAGAAACCATTATCAAACAGAAGGTCAAGGTCATGTTGCTTGTATTCCAGATGATATAGTTGTTGTTAGGTCGTGGTAATAAAACAAGAACATACTTGTGTGTTCCAGGTCCAAGTCCAGTTAGGATTGTGAAGCACTAAGTGTATAAATGATTCCTATAACACATGTCTACAGTTAAACAAGCTGCCTAAATGGCTGATGTCAAACATTCAGTGCATTTGTGGTACAACATTGTGAAGTATGGTAAGACAGTATGGAAAAGAAGATAATAAAGGGAATTATAGAAATATGACCTTATCAGTGAGAAGCTGGAGAACTCACATAGATATCACTACAGGATTCAGGCCAAAAAAGAGTTCAACATGAGGTAGAAAAACCAGGACGACAAAAAGTTCAACACGAGGAAGAAAAACCAAAGATGTAACAGAGATGCATTAAAAGAGATATATGAGACAGTTGACAAAACAGAAACAAGAAAGGCTGCAGTCTACGTGAGAATGAAGATGTCAGTATACAAATGAGGCAAGGGAGATAACCACTTACAACCTTACAGTACACTTATACAAAGAGCCAACTAATGTTTCTAGTTTCATGTACAGAAGTTAATTAATTTCTTTTTTTATTTGATATTGTATTTGAAAGTTAGCAGGTAAACAAAGCAATCAATCACTGTGTCCTATTGTGAGTTAGCATGTCTGTCAAAAAGCCTTTTATAGCTCTCGTTGTTTGATCGATATGTTTGCTGACTCCCTAAATCATTGGTGCACTCTGGTCTGTCCAAGCAACAAAAAATGTCATTTTCAATTACTGAACATTCAAAAATATAATGTTCTCTTATGGCTGTGGCAGGGAATACCAGGCCCACTACCATGAAAGACTAGATTGTATTCTGTTGATGGCCAATTCTAACGGCTTTCATTGCTGTTCTCCTGGGAACCATTTAACAGTGCTACATGCCTAGGGCCACCATAATTGTAATCAAAAATAAACTTTTGAAATCAAAATGGCAAATAATCAGCATTTTAATTACCCTGAGGTACACCTTTCTACAGAACATTCAACCCAACACATTAATAGTCATTTTTAAAAAAAAATATGAATTCTTTATTTTGAGGTGATAAAAAGTAAATTGAAGAACCAAATCCTGCTCTACATATGTAAATGAACTTTCTGACCTCATATGCAAAATAATTGCAATCAAAATCAGAGAGAGGTTAATATACTTGGACATTAACAACCCTTGTTTTTTATGATTTCTAGGTTTGGGAGATACCTAAAATAATTAAACTAGAAGGTCTGCTTTATGGAATTAATTGATTAGAGTGAAAACACTAAAAGGCAGAGGGAATAGATTTGGAATACAACAGGCAGATTATTATCAGCTGTGTAGTATGATTTTAATTATGTTTTTAATTGTCTGAAAATATGTTCAGCAACATTTTCTTTCCAATACAGAATCAACATGTTTACTGCTAATAAGACAATATCTCCATTGATTAAAATCAACCTGGCAATAATCCCATATATATCTTCTTACCCAGTAAAGTTATATATGGATCTATTTCATCGTCCTGTACTAATGATTTAAAACTGATGTGAAATAGCCTCCTAGCTACAGGACTAGATCTTGTCGTGTTAACATAATGTAGGTTTGTGGGTTAAAATATCATGGTGTCTGGGATCATATTTACATAATGTAGAATTGCGAATAAGATAAAATTTATATGTTTTGTGGTGAATATGTTTTAATGAACTTATTTTGTGTTGAAAAATACAGCCACCTAAATTGCTTATTGTCCTATCCTTGTCTAGTTTTGACAGCTGTCCTATCCGTGTCTAGGTTTGAAAGTTGTCCTATCCGTGTCTAGTTTTGACAGTTGTCCTATCCTGTCTAGTTTCGACAGTCGTCCTATCCTTGTCTAGTTTTGAAACTTGTCCTATCCATGTCTAGTTTTGATATTTGTCCCATCTTTGTCTAGTTTTGACAGTTGTCCTATCCTTGTCTAGTTTTGACAGTTTGTCCTATCCGTGTCTAGTTTTGACAGTTGTCCTATCCTTGTCTAGTTTTGACAGTTTGTCCTATCCGTGTCTAGTTTTGATAGTTGACATATTCTTGTCTAGTTTTGACAGTTGACATATTCTTGTCTAGTTTTGACAGTTGTCCTATCGGTGTCTAGTTTTGACAGTTGTCCTATCCTTGTCTAGTTTTGACAGTTTGTCCTATCTGAGTCTAGTTTTGATAGTTGACATATTTTTGTCTAGTTTTGACAGTTGTCCTATCCGAATCTAGATTTGACAGTTGACATATTCTTGTCTAGTTTTGACAGTTGTCCTATCCGTGTCTAGTTTTGACAGTTTGTCCTATCCGAGTCTAGTTTTGATAGTTGACATATTCTTGTCTAGTTTTGACAGTTGTCCTATCCGTGTCTAGATTTGACAGTTGTCCTATCCGTGTCTAGTTTTGACAGTTGTCCTATCTGTGTCTAGTTTTGACAGGTGTCCTATCCGTTTCTAGATTTGACAGTTGTCCTATCCGTGTCTAGTTTTGACAGGTGTCCTATCTGAGTCTAGTTTTGATAGCTGACATATTCTTGTCTGGTTTTGACAGTTGTCCTATCCGTGTCTAGTTTTGACAGTTGCCCTATCTGAGTCTACTTTTGAAAGTCATTTTGTCATCATGTTTATATATAGTTGTACTTTTGTATTAATGTTGTATAACTTTGTTAGTTGAGCTGTTTTTGTCTAGCAGATAGATCTAGTAGACACCGACAATATTTTGGTCCAGTATTGTTAGAGATCCAAGCACAGAGAATCCAGTTCCCACTGAGACACCAATCACTGTGTCCTTCCCACTAAAGTATAATAACAGCACATAGCTGACACACATCAATTTGAAATAAACCCTAAGCCTTTCCCACTGGAGTGGGCGTCACTTTCCTTGATGAGCTGGGCATGGTATACCCTACATACCCTTCCATTAGTGTCAGGATGTGGCTGATAGCAGATGCTTTATTTAAGTCTATTTAACAAACACAACTCCGACGACACAAATATTCACCGATGTATTTTCTCCTCTGTTACTCTTCTGAATCAGAAGAAAGACAATTTAGAATTTGCTTTCATTTCACTTTTTGTTTTGGAAGCAGAAACTGAATGGATAGCAGATGGGAATGCATATACTCACAGGCACCAAATTTCCAATTTCTAATCTTGTTTTGATCACAAGTCACATAGCCATTTTAATAATTGATGGACAGAGTACCAAATTACAAGGAAATGCAAGGAAAATTCTATCAACACGGGACAATTTCAATGTATTTGGTATTGTGGGTAACCATTGGTGGTGGCCATCAGGTCAAAGTCCAAGTCTCGTGCAATAAACAGAACTGATGAACGTCAAAATAATGAAATGTAATGACATCACACAGCTATCAGAAAGTTTGTCGGTTAGAATAGGAAATAAGAACAATATGTTAAACTATTAAATCAAGAATATCTACATAGAAATCTTTGAAGTTTAGCACAAAAAGTAATCTTACATATATGTATATTTCCTTCTACTGAGTATAAATGTTGATGTGTACAACCTTTACATTTTGTCTGGCTCCTTAGACATGTTTGTAAACTATAATATTGATATCATTTCAACCATCAATAGGCTACCCCACAGACATCAGTTAAACACCAAGACCTCTCTGATATCAAACATTATACAATGCTGACAACTAGTTTCTATGGATTGTTCTCCTATACAACAACTTTCTGTTATTAAGAATTTCTGAGTTGAACTTACTTCCTGTTAACTAAGGGATGTTTTAATACTGGAGAACTTCCAGTTTAGAAGAGGGATGCTTGGGAGCTACACTACTTCTTGCTTATATCGGTGCTGGACTACTTCCTGTTTACTGAGGGATATTGCAGTGCTGGACTACTTCCTGTTTACTGAGGGATATTGCAGTGCTGGACTACTTCCTGTTTACTGAGGGATATTGCAGTGTTACACTACTTCCTGTTTACTGAGGGATATTGCAGTGCTGGACTACTTCGTGTTAACTGAGGGATATTGCAGTGCTGCACTACTTCCTGTTAACTGAGGAATATTGCAGTGCTGGACTACTGACTGTTTACTGAGGGATCTTGCGGTGCAGGACTATATCCTGTTTACTGAGGGATATTGCAGTGCTGGACTACATCCTGTTTACTGAGGGATATTGCGGTGCAGGACTATATCCTGTTTACTGAGGGATATTGCAGTGCTGGACTACATCCTGTTTACTGAGGGATATTTTAGTGCTGGACTACTTCCTGTTTACTGAGGGATATTGCAGTGCTGGACTGCTTCCTGTTAACTGAGGGATATTGCAGTGCTGCACTACTTCCTGTTAATTGAGGGATATTGCAGTGCTGGACTACTTCCTGTTTACTGTGGGATAATGCAGTGTTACACTACATCCTGTTTACTGAAAGACATTGCAGTGTTACACTACTTCCTGTTTACTGAGGGATATTGCAGTGTTACACTACTTCCTGTTTACTGAGGGACATTGCAGTGTTACACTACTTCCTGTTTACTGAGGGACATTGCAGTGTTACACTACTTCCTGTTTACTGAAAGACAGTGCAGTGCTGGACTACTTCCAGTTTACTGAGAGATATTGCAGTGTCACACTACTGCCTGTTTACTGAGGGACATTGCAGTGTTACACTACTTCCTGTTTACTGAGGGACATTGCAGTGTTACACTACTTCCTGTTTACTGAGGGACATTGCAGTGTTACACTACTTCCTGTTTACTGAAAGACAGTGCAGTGCTGGACTACTTCCAGTTTACTGAGAGATATTGCAGTGTCACACTACTTCCTGTTTACTGAGGGACATTGCAGTGTTACACTACTTCCTGTTTACTGAGGGACATTGCAGTGTTACACTACTTCCTGTTTACTGAAAGACATTGCAGTGCTGGACTACTTCCTGTTTACTGAGGGATATTGCAGTGCTGGACTGCTTCCTGTTAACTGAGGGATATTGCAGTGCTGCACTACTTCCTGTTAACTGAGGGATATTGCAGTGCTGGACTACTTCCTGTTTGCTGAAAGACATTGCAGTGTTACACTACTTCCTGTTTACTGAGGGACATTGCAGTGTTACACTACTTCCTGTTTACTGAGGGACATTGCAGTGTTACACTACTTCCTGTTTACTGAGGGATATTGCAGTGTTACACTACTTCCTGTTTACTGAGGGACATTGCAGTGTTACACTACTTCCTGTTTACTAGAGGATTGCTGAAGTGTTGAACTTATTCCTATTTTCTTAAGGTTCTCAGTGTTTTAACACTTCCTGTATGCGAAGAGATCTCTACGTATTGGTCAACTTGCTGTTTACAACTGATGTCTCAGTGATGGACTATTTTCTCTTTACTAAAGGACTATTTCCTGTTAACCAGAGGATGTCTGACATTTTGCTGTTGACCAGGAGATATCTTTGTTGAACTACTTCCTGGTTACCAACAGATATTTAAATGTAAGACAACTTTCAGTTACCAGGAAATATATATGTTAATATGTCTTTGGGGTAACTTAAAGAAGGATCTTTAACAATATTAATGTCATTTACGAAAAGTAAACCTGACCCACAATTTGTTTCAATGATTTTGAATTTGTCATAAAATGGTATCCAAGACAAATTAGCAAAAAGTTGTACACATTGATAAAAATGTTCTATTAGGGAATAGGTACACAAGCTTCTCCAAGGTCAAAGACATGACTATCTCCAAGGTCAAGGATAAGGTAAATATTGTTTAGTATCAGAAAAAGGTATGTAGCACATTAATGGCTTTCTGCGTTACACAGTAGTTGTTTAGTACCTGCAGTAATTACCATATATAGTAAACAGATGGAATTGTGTAAAATCATGGTTAGTGATTCGCTGCAGAACAGATTTCAGGACTTAAAGGAAAACAGCTACAGAATCAACTGGTGTGCAACAGAATGGATAGCCTTCCATCGCGACACAAGACCACCAATCTTTCAGGGTAAATCTGTCAATGACAGTAGCAAATATGCTCATTTGGACATAAGCTCAGCTCAAATGTCAAACTGATAACCATTAAATTGACTGTAAAACTGATGTGGTTTTAGACTTTTACTCTAGGTGGTTTAAGTGGAGGTTGGTGGCTTGTGAGCGCTGGAGGGGTGTGTGCCTATCACCATGGTGACCAGTGTCCTTAATGACCGGAGTGAAGCTTGTGTACAGTGCTGTACATCACACAACTATGCACGTCTATTACGTGCCACTACTTGACTACATAGCAAACACGGAGGTGTGAGGCCTCGACGAACCTTGTGTGGACTGGGTGGACTTGACCACGACCTGGTAGGGTTGTGTCCTTCCGTCGGTATGCATTTGTATGCATCTGTTAGTCAATGCTTTCCCTCCTACACCTTCAAGGGAAATGTTGGGTTTTAGTTAAGTGGTGCCCATCTTAAATACCAGCTACATAGAACCACCTTTTGGATGTTTGTAAATGCTGCTAGGCCGCAAATGGCTCCATATTGTTATAAAGTCTTGTGGTACAATTCACCATATATATATATATATATAACAAGTATTCCAAGAAACTATTTTTGTCCTCTGATAAGTGTCTTTACCAGGACCACCCTTCCATTGTCTACTAAGTATATACGGTGAGGAACACATCAGTCTTTCCCAACACTCACTCTTTATAGTCACTGCCTGATCAATACTCCTGTTACCCCTATAGTCAGTGAAATCTCTATATCACACCAGGTTTTTGGGTCATGATTCTCTCTTACTTCTCCCGAACATGTCTAATCTGTATTGAACACTACAAACTGTCCTATCTATCTTCAGAGCTAATCCAGTTTTCTATTTATTCTTCTCCAAGCATCCAATTTTGTTAGTTACTCTCCCCTACCTTCATATATCTGCGGGCCTCTACAATGTTTATAATTAAATATTGTTATAAATTGATCCAATTTTCCCCCCCTGCTTAGCATTGTTGGTGTTCTGGAGATGTTTCATGAGCAACACTTAATTAACCCTGTCTTCCCTTTGTCCTGTAGTTTCAGCTGAGGTAAGCAAGGAAATGCTACTATTTTGGTAAAATCTCTACAGAGAAAGTAGAAGAAATCCAATGTTTTGGAGAGAATGAATGACTCATGCACAAATCAACTGTTTCCTTACTGATGATAGGTGTTTAAAATCGATGGTGACGAGGTCACACCATCAGATTTACAGCGTTATCAAATCATGCTTTTAGTGTTTTACAGAAAAGACTAAATTTTGTAAACAGAACGATAATTCTAGTCAGTTCAGAAATAAAAAAAAACAGATGGTTTTAAGTCACATAATTTACAGTGATGAACACATAGGATGGTAGACACTGCAACACATGCATCAGGATGTCTGCAGCCACATCTTAACCTTTCCGCCCTAACAGATATTCTGTCATGGGGCTATCATTGGAAAAAGTATCCACATATGCAAAGTAAGCAGAATATTATTTTCAAACTACTTTTTTTTTCAAATAAGAAATATTTGTTAATGGATGTGAATTTTTGCTTCATTTCAGAAATGGATAATTTTTTTCTGCCTGAATGTTTGATAAAGTAGAAACAAGAGTTAATTTGGATCAGACTCAAAATTCACTAATGAACTACAAGCAAGAAAGAAATGGTTTACAGACTGCTGATGTAAATTGTCCGCGTCACCCAAGTGATAATGGTGAGGGGATCTAGGAAAAATGTGTCTGAAGCTGAAGTGAATTATAACCACCACCATAAACAGAACTATAACACGTCATAGGAATGGGTTATGTCATTGGCATGGGCAATAACATGTCAGCAGAATGGGTTATGTCATTGGTATGGGCAATAACATGTCAGCTGAATGGGTTATGTCATTGGTATGGGCAATAACATATCAGAGGAATGGGTTATGTCATTGGTATGGGCAATAACATGTCAGCTGAATGGGTTATGTCATTGGTATGGGCAATAACATGTCAGCTGAATGGGTTATGTCATTGGTATGGGCAATAACATGTCAGCTTGGTATGGGCAATAACATGTCAGCTGAATGGGTTATGTCATTGGTATGGGCAATAACATGTCAGCTGAATGGGTTATGTCATTGGTATGGGCAATAACACATCAGAGGAATGGGTTATGTCATTGGTATGGGCAATAACATGTCAGCTGAATGGGTTATGTCATTGGTATGGGCAATAACACATCAGCTGAATGGGTTATGTCATTGGTATGGGCAATAACACATCAGAGGAATGGGTTATGTCATTGGTATGGGCAATAACATGTCAGCTGAATGGGTTATGTCATTGGTATGGGCAATAACACATCAGCTGAATGGGTTATGTCATTGGTATGGGCAATAACACATCAGCTGAATGGGTTACACATGTCAGCTGAATGGGTTATGTCATTGGTATGGGCAATAACATGTCAGCTGAATGGGTTATGTCATTGGTATGGGCAATAACACATCAGAGGAATGGGTTTGTCATTGATATGGGCAATAACACATCAGCATATTTATATATTGGCCATATAGGAGAGGACTTAATGTCATTTATAGATGTTAATGTCTCATATAAGAGCTGCTGACATCATGTTGGAAAAGGGTTGATGTCATGTAGGGATTTAGCGTCCTGTTGGGGAGGAGTTATTAATGTCAGACATTAGGAGGGGCTAACCCCATGAAGGGGAAGTGGAGTTAGTGTCATTCAGGGACAACGTATGTCATGTAAGGGAAGTAGAAAATGTTATTTAGAGGATCAGCTGATGTCTTGAAGGGATAACATAACTGTCATGCTGGGGAAGAGTCACTGCCATGCAGGCATTGATGTCACATATGGAAGGAACTGATGTAATGTAAAGAGGCAGAGTTAATATCATGAAGAGGAGCAGGTAAGGCAAAGGTGAGGAATGAATGGCAAAAGAAGGGTATTTAATGAGGAAGGAGTTGTTGTCATATAGGAAGGAGTTGATGTCATATAGGAAGGAGTTGATGTCAGGTAAGAAGGAGCTGATGTCATATAGGAAGGAGTTGATGTCAGGTAAGAAGGAGCTGATGTCATATAGGAAGGAGTTGATGTCAGGTAATAAGGAGCTGATGTCAGGTAGGAAGGAGTTGATGTCAGGTAAGAAGGAGTTGGTGTCAGGTAAGAAGGAGCTGATGTCAGGTAGGGAGGTGCCGATATTCAAGGGGGAGAGGGTAGTTTGTTAAATGGGGGAAGCCAATGTCATCTGATGGAGATGTTGAAATCACATTAGGAAGGGGTTATATGAAGGGAACAAGTCAATGACATATAGACGAGGGACAATATATTATGAGGGGAGGGAGTTGATGTCATGTAGAGCTAAAGTTGTATCGAGATACTGATGTCATACTGGGGAGGAGCTATTGTCATATGGCAGTAGAGTATCATTGTAAGACCAAGGTCAATCAGACCCATTGACAGCTTGTAGTAATAAGGGGGCTCACATTCTAATGTCACTTCATCTTAAATTTCCTAACATATGTAACTACACTGGCATCAACAGTATTAAGGTATTATGTTTAAAACATCTCTGTGATATCAACATCAATGACCACATGACAACTGTGGTATCAAGCACAGTGACACCACATTACAATGTCATCAACAATATATGTAGCCACCTCGTCTACCTACGTCGTACTTACCGGAGAGCCTTTCACCCCTCAGGTTCCACATTAAACTCTCCATTCCATTTAAACTGACCAGTCCATTGTGGTCTGTAGGGGTGAAAGGAGGAGAGGAGGTCAACAAAGGTCAAAAATGTTACAAAGTTAAGTGTCCTTGATATGTACACAGTGGTTACAACAGTTAATCAAGGTCACCTCCACATCCTCCTCAAACTCAGTCTATGCTCGATGATTTTAAGATTCATAGACTTCATTCTTCATTTCTATTTCTTAATCCCAAAATGAAAATGCAAAGCAGACAAATTTTGTTTTGTTCTAATCACCTAAAATTTCCAGGATCACTTGTTTGTCTAGTCTTTTTTATAATTATCATTGATTACAAGCAATAATATCAGATGAGAGCATCGATTATTGATTAAAACTAGCACTGTCATATACTTCTTATTCTTTCCTGATTGGTTAAGACTGACAAGTGTCACATGACTTCATTCATCTTTCCTGAATGGTTACGAATGACAGCGTCACATGATCTCACTCAACATTTCTGCTTGGTTACCCATGAGAGAGTTACATGATCTCACTATTCTTGGTTGACTGGTAACAGCTGTCACATGATATTACTACTGCATCTCATTGGTTAAAATTGACATTGTTTAATGACCTCTTACAACTAAATGTCACATGATCACAACATTTGTTCCTGAAGTGAATATATCGTGATTGACTAAAGCTGATAATGCCACTTGATGTTTAATGTCTATTCTACATTTATAAAATTTATTCTAGAAAGATTTATTCCGATTTGATGCTTTATTTTCTGGATCTTATTTTTCTTTATTTGGGAAACAAAACAATTTTGTAAGAATGAAGAGCAGATAGAATCATTAAACAGAAAATTGCTAGTGTTCATGGTCCAGTATGATTCTCCATCAACATGTTACGGGCGCGTGACAATCCACTTCATCAATCACTCCACAATAGGGCTTCTGTACCCGAGGATTAAGTGCCAAGTGCCAATCACGTCCAGGAAAGGTGACAATTTCTCTGCCACACTGGAGCAGGTTGGATGTCTTGAACAATTTTCTGTTTAGTGTAATACCTGTCTATCAATCATGCCAGAAAACTGCTCTTCAAACACCTATTAACAATTCTTCATCATCAATAACTATTTTACCAAATCAAATAACAAGAAGATAAGTGAAAGTACATATCTATTTATGTTATATTTCTGTTCGTTTAATTCCTTGTAGAAAAGTTTTGCTCTCATGGTGATCAACATCAGTACATCTGTATGTTTTTGCTCTTTTCTAGTACATTTATAAATCTCTCTTTGAACTCCCAGCTAAAAGGTCACATTCGGATACAATGAATTACCGAGTTTCCGAGTCTGGTTGATTTTCTATCTATATTATCTAACCTAACGACAAAGTACATGTACCTATTGTTCTTGCCCTAACTGTTATAGATGGCTGTGGTCAGACACTGTCGTGCCAATGTCTGCTGTATCATACGTCTGACCAATCAGCATGGACTCCCTCCAGCAATTGTTTCTTTGTTCAGCAATGTGATTGGTTTCCAGCTGATTGTATTTGATCCCCAATGTTACATTAACTGGAGCTCCGTATAGTGTTCTAAGTTGTTCATCACACATTTGTCATCAAATTCATTAAAGAAATAAGCTTTAAGTTAGAGGAATTTAATTAGTGCTAAGCCAATGAAAGATCCTTTAACACATCAGCGGTGGTAGTTTATTTGGTGCTGCAATGGCTGTTTTTATTCTGAATAGAATTCTCATTCAGTGTTTCCTGAGCTGAACTTTACTACATAACCCAGAGCTTATTTCTATCTCCAATTCCCAGTGTAGATTTGATGAATTCTAAGAGAATATTTCTGTATTTTCGGCACAATTGTTTGATGTAATAACCTTGATACAGCAGCATATATTGTGTCATGTGTATTACTTTGCTCAAATCATTTTAATGTCATATTGTGATTAAGAAATGTTCAAGACACCTTGGTTGCAGATAGCAAAATAGCATTACTGATCAGCATGACTAATACAGAAAGAGAATGCTCCAACCTGTTCCATAGTGAACGCAGCAAGAAAATACACATTAGTTAGAGAATTCAGGTTATTTTCAGTGAGGGTTCAATTTCCAAGAAGAAATTCTTGCATAATTCACATACACATTGATTTCTAAGAGAAGTAATATTTGAATAGTAGAAGAATTAATTTGTTAATTATTCATATTGATAAATTAGTACCCACAGTTTGTCCACAAATAAGGTGTGCCATCGTTAACATATACAGTCATGGTCTTGCCAATATATAACAAACAATTCTACTAAAGGGAGGTAACTCTTGCTCTACAACATAAATTAGTCTACTGCTAATATGTATACACATGAAGCCATTCTAAGCCGAGTAGCAGCATTCACATAACATGTAAAAGGTAACAGACTATTGTTTACTATTGTGTAAATATACAGGTGTTCTATATATAGAGGACAAAAAAAAAAAAAAAAAGAAAATAAAACCAACCTACAAATTGAAATTATGTTTGTGAAAGCATAAGGGAAAACTTTAATCAGAAAACGACTAGGTTTGTGATTGGATAATCTGAAGCAATACAGAACTTCAAAAACTGAGTAACCTGAATAAAGAAATTTGACTAGATTAGTGTTATTAGAAGAAACATCCAATCACCAGTTATAAGATATAGGGACTAGGCAATAATGGCCTCCTTCTTACAGACGAACACCTGAAATGCTCTAGTAAAGAAGGAGGATCAAATGTTGCATGGTAATACACAAGGGAGATTCAATTTTGCAAAAGTTAAGAAAAAAAAAAGTCTTATAATTTCTCTTCCAATCAAAATAGGTGAAAATCTGACAATGGTAAAACTCTATAAATTAAAGGGAGCTTCTACTACTCCTAATGTCATAAAGGGACCAACTGTGAACATTTATACGGGAGACGGAGAATAAAAACAAGGGAGACAAACCAATACCTGTAGCACGCTGGGCAGTAAGTATATGATCGCCAACACGATGGAGAGGCGACGTGCTGACTGGCAGCGGCGAATGGTCGCTCCTTTGTAAGCCTGCAGTCAATTGATTTGCCGTCGCAGCACCAAGGTCGGCATAGATGGGGGACATGTGTCTCTCCCCTGGGGCGGAGGGGGTGGTGGGGAGGTACCCAGCATAACCAGGGAGCCCTAAACAAGAGAGCAGAAACACGTCTCTAAGCCAGTGATACGTCAGCTATAAACTCACTGACTATGTCATCCTGCTAGGATAACATATTCAGCAGTTAAATATCCTAATGTCTACAGCAAATAGCGACGCTAGGTACACGGGGCTTTAAACCACATTTACATAGCGAGGTTACAAGTACTCAAAGACTTTAGGATACAGAAATGCTCTCCTGGCCTACAACGCATCAAATTCCATTCTATTTCAAATCTGAATCCAAGGCATTAGATTGTTTAAAGGTTAAACAGTCTGAATGCATGCCAAGCTTGTATTGGAGTTTTGAGGAATTTGGTGAGTGGTAGACCTACTATATAAAGCAATTGGCTTTATATAGCATTGGGAACAGACTGTGCTATGTTGTGTTACTGAAAACACATAATTCCAGCATATATAATAGGTATCTGGCTTCCCTGGTTTTGCAATGTCTAACTCCGAGTCACACTGCACACAAACATTACAAAGGCTACAATTGTCTAGACACTACAGGATATATATATGTATATATATACACCACAATGTATTAAAGACTCCACCAACCAGGGCAAATTTTAATACGTTTCAAAGAAGTGCTTGGCCAAAATATTGGTTGTTTAAATATGAAGTCTCTCTTTTTTCTTTAAATGTTTTGAAAGAAAAAAAAAATGCATTTTGGGTAAAACGTTTTAGACTAAGGACAGGATTATGTAAATTTCATGCATGATGTCACTACAAGCAATACTATGAAACTAATTTCTAGAAAAAGCAGTATTTTCAGAGTAAACAACAGTGTGCTGTGTCGACTACAGTTTAGACATGCAAAATCATTGTAGCCTTACACCAACAACAGGGGTTAAGAGGTCACCATGGTGACAGAACATCCCCGTCTCCATCCATAATACACCACATTTATAGCTACGATAGGGATTACAACAATGATGTTATTTATACAAAAATATAAGTTGATATCATTACTAAATTAATTTTCAGAAATGATTTTTTAAAAATTACTGCAACAAAAATAAGATTTATAATTACAGCAGTTATATTTCAGAAGCTGATTTTCTATAGGAGAGAAAGTGAGCCCTTTAAAACCACCCATCAGAATGAGACCGGGATGTTATATTAGCATCAGTAGATGATGGACTAATTCAACTCTACCACATCCAAAAATCCCAACTCAACATGGTACATTTGAAACCAGAAAAGAAATACATAATTTAGAATAAATATTTGAGTTGACATTTGGACATGAACAATAATTGGTAGCCAAGTTATTAACATGTATTATAATAATTCTTGATGTCAATTCTTTCATAAAAATCTTAATAGAACCTTCAATAGGGTAGAATTTCTGATTTCTTTTTTCCCCCTAATACATTTATTAACAAAAGTTCTGCTGAAGATGCCTATTTTACTCCCCCCCCCCAACCTCTACTCCCCTTAAAGATATTGTCTTCTATGAAAATGTACTGTCAGTTTACTTGGTAAAATTCTTTCCCATTGAAGGTCTTATTAATACTATAAATAGCCATTCATATGAACAGCTGTTATCAATGTTAATTTGTGAAATAACTATATAGATATTTTTCACACCATAATACAATTTATAATTCATTCAAAATAACAGCAATTTCTATAATGAAGACACAATTTGTGAACATTAAATTGAAGCACAATATCAAATCAAAATTCAAGAAGAAAAACAAAAACATTCAACTTAAAACATACTGGATTACCATAGCAACCATCAAGGTTAATCAAAGCAAGCTAGATGTACGTAGGCATAGCATTAACAGCGCACCACACGAGGAAACAGTTTCAATATCAATCTCATTTCCTGTAGAATTTATAAAACAACAATATTTACAAAAATTATCTGAAGAAAACTAAGAAATAAATAATAAACAATAAACAAACAGCTTGAAAAGTTGCTGACCACAAAGGGAGATAATTACAAACAACATTAATTAAATATTCAAAATGTCTACAATCCACAAACATGTCCGCCACATGACAGGGTATGTGGGGGAGTATACACAACTACAGGCAGTTAGTCGTTATACATCGGATAGTATCACACCACAAGACTGCACCAAATACAAACACCACGGTGCAAGGACTGAGAAAAAGCTGGAAGCTGTAGGAAATCATCCTTACAATGTCAAGTCTCTCTAACACAGCAAGTTCTCACATAAACTCTCAACTGTACAGGTATGCAAGGCTCCAGCATACCTTTATTGGAAGGCCTCAGTTTTATAATCATCTTGGTCTCAAACTAGGAATTCAATCCTTCGTTTTTCCATTAAACACAAGAATGAATCTTTAAACTGTGCTCCTCCTGTAATACTTGTCAGATATATTGAGAATGTATGTGAAGTCGTGCTATGTACAGATATACCTGAAATTGTGCCAATATAAGAAGGATGTGGCAATATGTTTACAAGTGTGGACTGAACAAGAGCAGTGGGGCTTACCGGGAGTAGAGGGGAGACTTAAAATGCTCCGTCCTGCACGTGGTGCCCCGGAGCCACGGGCTGCTGCGGCCGCAACCACACTGCGAGCCGCAGCGGCCGAGACCATTGAGGACGGACTATACGCTGTACCAAGTCCTGCATGTGACAAACAATGAAGAGATATGAGAAAGTGCTCTCTCTCCTGATACCATCCCTGGACCAGAGTATAACTAAAGACTTCCTATTGAAGCTCTTTCTGAGGTTTCTCTATTACTTCTTCCTATTATCCTGTTTTGCCACATTGCAGGAAAATCTCTAAATTTTAAAAAATCTTTCGACCATCTCTTTTTTTCACTTTATGTTGGACAAAATGTATTTCTGACATTGAACATTTTCTTTCTCCTATTTATTTTCATAGAGCTTATGTGTGTGTCTACTTCACTGAGTTGCAAGTCTTGTTGTTATGGCAACAGAACTAGGAAACCACAGAAAACAATGGAGAAGAGAAAGAAAGAAAGAAATCTTGTTAACAAAATTTTATTCCCATAAAAAGACCAACCATATAGTGACATCGTTAATGAGAACAGTTGTTCCTCACATTGACAGTATTTAGTGGCATACCCTTAAAGGTCATTCCTTCAATCAGCTGCACCCAATGAAAAACAGCCAATTACATCTCAGTACCACAGTGGTTTCTAAGGTGACCAAGAAGACTGGGGGATTAATCAAGTCTAAACACCATGTAAAAAGTTATCATAATTCTTCTTATTGCTCGTATGTAACAATTATCGTAAGTGGTATGAGGTGGTAACATCATGTCCTCTGCTGAGATACAAGTATTCTAGTCTGACAAGTGAATGACAGTGGTTGCTGTGGAACCATGGATACACCCCAAGTCACTTGGCACCTTGGTCCCCCTCATCACCATGGTGATTCTGAGTGTGATGAGCCACGGACAAAAACATCAATGTATACAATCATATGTGTAGCTATAGCATTAAACAAAAATCACAACGTCTGTCTACAGACAAAGCAGTATTAGGTATACATTTATATATTATCTTACCTACTGACAAAGCTCCTACACTGCTAAAACTACAAAGACTTCACCTGTCCCTCGACCACAAGTAAACCAGTTACCTTGGCAACTAAGATCATCTTGAACCATACAACTGCTGACAACTGTACAGTGTAGAAGATTTGTTCTGATCTTAGTCTTCTTTTGTGCGTGGTTTAATTGACAAGATGCGGGACCACAGGACACAGACCTATTGAGGATACAGGACCACTAAACGGGGTATTAAAAAAACATCACGGATGATACATTTCTGCCTAATTAAACATCTATTGTTATAAGCTATATATTTGAAATTTAAATTTACAATTCTCAACAAATTCTAATTTTTCAAATTAAAATATGCAAATAAAGTGCTAACAATCCAGTCTGAACTACACATTCTATGTTAATATGACGGGGTCCTAGTGATAATGTGGAACCCTCCCTACAATAATGAGTGTGACCTGTGAGTGGACAAACCTAACCAGGATTACATCCTACAAAAGTCTAACATGTTTGGCAGGTTTTCAATGCCATATAAGGCATCAACACAATGGCAACGGAATGAAATTAAAGCTTAGTTCAAAAGGGATTTTTCACATTAATATGTATAAGCATATATATAAATAAATATATAAACTTCAGTTTATAGAAAACAGGTCTGGCCATAATGACTTCATAAATATAATTGAACAAAGAGATTATCAACATTCAAACAAAATATTTTTCTCATAGAAGTAATGCTATGAATCCATTTGCATGGGGATATTTTTGTAGAACATGAGATAGGTTTGTATGTGACACAAATGGATAGAAGTCTGTATGAATTTTCATTGAAACAAAAAAACTGTAATATTTGATATTTACTTGATGTTTTCCAACAATAATAACAAAAGCAACAACTTTGTGCAATTATCTTAGCCCTTTCTTACATTGGAACCCTTTGGCAATTTCATGTTTATCAACTCATAAAAATGCATGCATAGATTCATAAAGAAAGACAACAATATTTTATCATATGTACAAATTTGCCCTGTTATTTCACAATAGATTGTTTGCCTGGCGACCACAAACAAATTTGGTCTCCTTGCAATAAAATAAGCAAAACATCCACAATAGAAAAGCTATTGTTTCCTGGTTTCATTATTATTGCTTATGCGAATATAACAATGTGTTGTGATACAGGTCAACAACTAATCACAGAGATACAGGTAAGTAGCCATCACAGGTGGAAAATCAATACACAAAGCTCTCTTACAATTTCTCCTAGGGTTAAGAAGCCTTGAACAATTTTCTAATACAATGTTTATGACTTTTTAATCTACCATGGAATTGGGCAAGTTGTTCACTGTTTGCTAAGGTTTGATTTTTGGAAGCATACTTTTGAGATCACATGAACTGGGTCACATAATTAAGATATGAAACATGTACTTTTCCCTGAATATTTTTTTTTCCATTTTTAAAATATAAGAGAAAGTGATTTTAAAAAAAGAAGAGAATCTTTGTTTTTCTTCGTTATATCTTCATGCTCCCTTTAAACCTTCCCTGGACTAAACATAAATGATACAGGTTACAAGGAAAAATACAGGAAATAGGTAATGAGTTGGCAGTTTGCATAATTACATCCATATGGAGCAGTGTTTTTGCTTCAATTTCCCGGCTTAGGTGCCAAGGATACTGGGTGAATGAGGTAGTGTGGTTTAGCTAGGATTCATTGTTTATTATTTTATCAATAGTTTCTTCATTATTATCACCCACTTCAGAGGAAAATGCACAATGGTTATACAATAGCACATTAAGATTAATTTTAACATTTCTCTTATGTAAAATATAAAATAATCTAATTCTCTTAAGTAAGATATGCTAAAGTTACTTCCAACTGAAACTTAAAATCATAATGGGAAACACATACCATAGAACGCTTGATTGATTTTGAAGAATATATTCTATATCTGAACATGAATCAATATGTAATTAAGAACTTGGATATTTTGATTTAAATAGAGGATTAGAAGAAAAATATTAACCCAACACATTGATGGTAAAAGCCTTGTTCATATTGCTAGCAAGGGAGGTAACTTCACACAGGGGAGATAATTTCTAGATTTTAGGTTGAAGAACACAATTTACATGGGCAAGAACAAATGAAAAAGCCTATTTTTGTGTCGCTGAAAGCCTCTAAAATATAACAATCCTGAGGTTGATACATTGTAGTCTCATAAAAATATTTTTTTCATTTGCAATATGTTTAGAACCAGAAAGCATGATTTGATAATATCTTCCTGGTGTTTCTGAGTATATAATACAGTGTAAAACAAAGGTAACAAAGAATTGGTGGGTCTCTCTAAATTATGTAATCAACTCAAAAAAAAATTTATATTTATGTACAAGTGTATATTCTTTAAAACATTTTTTGTGAACAGAATTCATATAAGAAGGAACTTAATAGTTTTAAACAAAAGAACTACAGACAATAGATTACACATGTCTATCGTAGTTATTAACTTTAACACTCTGATTTATTTTATCCTCAAAATAAACAATCTATCATAGAGATTCACTATGCAACTTAAATGTAATTTTTATTTGGATGTAAACTACCTGTTATCTATATTTCAATACAATATAAATATATTTTTAAATATAATACTACGTCTGATAAGTATTCTGTGAACAAAATAATTACCGACATATTATTTGTAGAAAAATCAAATACAGAAAATAGCACCTAAACAAAAAAAAAAAAAATTAAATAAATAAATACAATTCATACACACTCTTTAAGACTACAAACATGCCTCATAAATAGATTATTGAATTTCAACAACAAAAACAGACAAAAATAAACCTGTACATTGGTAGCATGGCAACCATGTTATCTTAAATAGTCAATAAATAATTTAGCAAAACAAAGACAACAGTACTATTTTTGTCAGGTCATTCTTCATCATACACCATTTGCTGTGAAGTTTTGTGGGTATGTGAAACAACTAGTAAATTACTTCACTAATGCTTTTCCTTTGGGTAAAATTTGGCACATCTGCGTTTAAAGTGCAAAGGTGGGTATATGCCCATAAATGGACTATTTCACATACAGTAATTACCCATAAGATATCAGTAAAAATGGCTGATCTAGATGCCAGGAACAGCTCTGGTACATGAATGACGCAAAAATAAATACTTTTGCCCAAAATCTTGTATAAACAAGACCTTACGTTGACCAGTGGTCAGTGACCATGAAGTGTTAGAGGTGGTACATCAATAGCTTCCTGTACCATCCCTACCACAGCTCACAGTTAATTAATTGGCTTCTCGGAAAGGACTCGTCACATAAAACAGAGCAACACATCTCAAGACACCTTTCCCTAAAAATAGTCAATTCATCTCAACATTTTACAATTTTTTTTCACTACTCCTGAAATCTCTTGTCAAAGATGTTACAAGCAATGAGTGAAAAAGAAGAAAGCCAATTAAAAATTTCACACATCATTGTAAAGAACTGGCCGTATCTCCTCAATAAATGTCAAGGAGATTTGATCATTACGCCATAATACTGTTAATCATTTTTTAGTATAGATATTTGTTTAGATGATAAAGAGTTGGTTTATACAGATACACTGGTAAAACCTGAGATATGTTGTTCTGGGTACAAAGTTTTATATACATAACACATTGGTCCATCTAGAACCATATTCATCCCTTATTTCATCAATAAATTAACACTTTCCACCAAGAGTGACAACTAAGAAAGAAAACAGAATTTTACACAGACACATATCCACCAGATTTTGTCACTACATATAACTCTGATATGTTTCCACCAAAAATGTCGAAGCTTGAGATTACACTTCTTCCTTTGTTGAAAAGCCTCCTAAATGTTCTGGGACAACATCCTGTCTGATTGGCTGAAAACTTAAAGGTCAATGTTTGACTCCTTCCTGATTGGCTGAAAACTTAAGGTCAAATGTTCATTTCCTTCCTGATTGGCTGAAAACTTAAGGTCAGAGTTCAGACAGAAAGCAGACAGAGAGGTGGTTTTTAGAAGGGGTACCACTGCCCTAAGTCTAATATTTCCATACCTGGATAGTAGTACCCGGCAGGGGCAATGGCTGGGAATCCACGGCCAGCATAGGGGTAGGCAGCAGTGTGCAGTCCATGGGGCAGGAAGCCTGCAAGGAAACGTAAAACCACTCACTACTTCATCTCACTCTAACTTATTTCAAAGTTTTGAAAAATTAAAAAAAAAAAAAAAAAAAAACAAATAATAAAAAAGTGAGTAATGATTGATGTCAACAGAGATGTCTGATCATATTTAATAAACAGAAATGAAATACAAGTATGACATATGTTAATTTATTTATAGACTTACTTCTGATCAACTGCATTTATAAAAACATTTCTGAGTAGTCAAATTAAACCAACAGAAAAAACATGGGACATTTGAAAGACAGAAAACAAGGGATGTATGAGAGGGGTAGTCTGGGCAATGTTAGATATTGAGGAGGCGACTAGCAGTAACAACACAAGTTGCCTCTGAACTCTCAGTTGTAAAATTACTTTCTGAATTTGAAGTCAATTACTACAATTGAATAAAATAAATACTCATGTTTTCAAAATCAAAATTTCTTTTGAAAAGGATTCAAGGCAACTTGTATAATTAGCAGCATCTGACCGCTGCCAAAATGGCCTTATCCAAATAGATCATCCAAATGTGTAGGGATATAAGGACTGAACTAAATAACACAGGAGATGTGAAACAGTATCATGCAGGCATCGGCCATGCTGACAAACTGGATTTTTCTATACACCAAAATGTCACTATTTAAAAATTAGTAAAACATCAAAAGCATGTCAGTTCTAGCACATCACACCGGATTATATCCAGCTGGGCTTACTGAGACGGCAATAAATAAGATACATGATGGACAGAAAGCTTTCTAAACTGGTTAACAACTACATCTACTGGCCAGCTTGGCAGCTCTTAAATGATATCCATTAAATACAATTCATATCTTGTTATGTAGGAAAGTTGTACTATCAACTTCTGAAGTACAATGAAGACAAAGGAGTTAATGCATTAGCTGACAAAATGCATCGCATGATCGTAATGTACTTATATTTTAAAATTAGCACAAATCTGGGTCAAAGTTTAGAGTTAATATCACAGATGTGTTAATATAGCTACATACCAGACATAACAGCATCACATCAATTCAATCCAATTCAATTTTACAACAGAGCAAGAAATTATATAAACTGAACTGGTGACACAAAATTTGGTTTACTGTGCTAGGTATGGTTATTGGTCAATGTATTGACCAATGAAAGTCAGGCCTGTGTCCTGTGTTATGATTGGTCAGTGACCATAGACTGGACCTGTGCTAGAGACATTGTGAGTGACCAGGAGAAAATACCAACCTTCCACACCGCTTGTCAAAGGAACACCGCCAAGATGGGGAGAGGTCACTGAAATAAGTGAGAATTCCTGTTTTGCTATATTCCAAACAATATTTTATCAATGTACAATTGGAGAAATATTTCGATTAAAACAATAATGAAAAATAAAGAAATATGTTTTAATAAATAATAAATAGAAAATTTTAATCTTTAAAATTGATATCTTTATGGAATATTCCAGTGTTAAACATTATATAATGTTTATATTGTAAGGGACATAGTTTCTCATGGTAGGTAATGCCTCCAGGGGATAAAGGCACACCGTTACAGCTCTGGGGAGTGGGTGGGGGCATGGGCACATTTCTACACATTTGGGGAGTGGGTAGAGTGGAGAGGAAGGTCCATCTCTACACCTCTTGGGAGTTGGGGGAGATAGAATTTTTACATCATTATCTACCATTCCTTGCCTTTTCTGCCCAACTACTCCCCCCTCCCTCACATATATTTGAAATAAAACAAAGTCCAGTGGACTATTATATAATATTCCTACATCTTCCCAGATCTATTTACAGCCTACAGGATTGCTTCTCTATTAGAGTCACTACTATCTTTTGTAGCTGTGGGTCATTTATGACTGTCAATGTTATAGCCAACTTCTTATCCTATAAATCATCCGAACCATCTCATCTTCCACTGTCAGTATTTGAGTGAATTGCTAACTAAATGGATTATGTTCAAAGAATAATATTTCCTATCTAGAAGACAATTTCTCTCTAGACGGCAGCTATCTGTACTGCTAGCAAACTCTATACACTGCTTGCTTGGGGCACCATATTAACATGACAAGTAATTGGACGGCAGCTCATCTCCACCTATCCAACCTTATACAAACCAATATTATCTGCTCTATTTCATTATAAAAGTCACTTTTTGTTGGCTTTCCTTCCAATATCGAGCTATGACTTTCTATCTTTGTTATCGCTTATGTAATGGAAGTAGCTGGTGCTGCTTCCCGATATGAAGCGCAGAAGAATTTGTCAGAAAATGTAACACATATCTACAAAATTGCAGGCATGTATTACCACAAGGGAGAGATGGTAGGGCAATAAATTTCTTATCTCTCAAAAACTGGTGTCATTTTGACCTTGAAATTTTTGTTAACCACTAGCTTTGGACCTTAGCAATACTAATATCATTCTTCTAGGTTACTTATTTCTAGTCTGCATTCTTGTTGGTAACTTATTTCTAGTCTGCATTCTTGTTGGTAACTTATTTCTAGTCTGCATTCTTGTTGGTAACTCATTTCTAGTCTGCATTCTTGTTGGTAACTTATTTCTAGTCTGCATTCTTGTTGGTAACTTATTTCTAGTCTGCATTCTTGTTGGTAACTTATTTCTAGTCTGCTTTCTTGTTGGACACTTATTTCTAGTCTGCATTCTTGTTGGTTTCAGGGTTCAAATGTATGATCCTCTGGGTGACCAAGGTTAAGTTTATGGTCGGCTGGTTCATCGGTTTTTAGTTTGTCTGCCAGCGTACCTTTGTCTGCAGCTTACCAAGTGTCTATGGTTGTAGGTTACCAAGTTCTAGTTTGTTGTCTATAGACTTACGGAGTTCTGGTTTATCACTGCTGGGTTAGTGAGTTCTAGTTTTTTGTCTGTGAGGTTATGGAGTTCTAGTTCATTTTCTGCTGGGTTACGAAGTTCTCATTTATTGTCTGCTGGGTAACCAAGTTCTAGTTTATGGATGCCTAGCTTACTAATGCTAGTTTGTTGTCTGCTGGATTACCAGTCTATCCTATTGCTTGCTGAGTTAATGAGTTCTAGTCTTGATTAGTTAGAGTCTATCCGGCGATTGTTTACCAGATTTCTTTGCTCTGTTTCTTTTTCAAGATGTCTTGAATTTTAATTGTCTCAACTGAACTGATCTACCTCTAAAGTTAATACATGTATGGAGTAGCTTCAGCAGTGCTGTTATCATAGCCTCATTAACTACACTAATGCTACACACATAGTAGCAGACACGCTGAGACAGGGCACACACAAAGCCAACATGCTAAGGCTCACATCCTACCCAGAAATGGTCTATCAAATACCTTAGGTTTGTTAAGTTAAATTTTGTTTTTAGCTATTCTTTTTTTCTGTATTTATCAATGAAATGGCTTACAATTCTCAACATAAAAGGCACCTACAGATAAATATTGAGAGGAAAAAATTAGAAATTCAAGAACAAAAGAAATACATGTAGAAAACGATGAAATGACTGGACAGATATGAATAGATTCAGCATCTGGAAAAGAATTATATAAAATAAAGATTATAATTGTTAGACTGTTTCATGCACCACAGCAAAACACTACGATGCCAAAATGCAAATCTAACGTCTAGAATAAGATGTATAGACAGTACTCCACAGTACAGGTTTCTCTCTACTCTGATTGGAGGGCCAGGTATCGCTATGGATACCTGACCCCAATCGTATTGTCATGCAACCTACATATAATAGCCCATGTTAACAGCTGATGGCGTGGGGTTGCTGGGGTAACGGCAGACATTTAAACATTGAGTTGGGGTTATGACCCTAAGAATTTCAACATCATATTGATATTAAAGTCTTATTTCGGTTTTCAATATTAAAATTTATTGTGTGAGGATGGTTGCCATCACAGTTTCTATTCATCAAATCTATTCCAAAGGGGTTTCTATTGCTCATGTCATACACAAGAAATCAATTTTTAAATGTTTCCCTCCATTTTGTTTCTAGAAACTAATTTCAAAACAACAACGTACTATTTTTGCTTACTAACTTAATGCCCTTTTAATGAAAATGAAAAGCAAACTTTCAATGGCAAAATGCATAAAAATGTAATCTTCTTCAGTCACATGGTCTAATAGCAAAAGCAATAAAATATTAGTTGTTAAACAAGCCTCAAATTCATCAACATTAAACTCACCATGCCCTCTGATTGGTCGAAATGTTTGACCAATTGTAGGGCATGCCATTAAATAGTTTGGTTTGATGAAGTTGAGGCCTGTACAGTCTGTACAGCGGATAGGCCAGGTAGATTTTATCATCCTTCTAAACACCCCAACTGTGCCCATTAAAATGGATGGGGCATTACAATCAGGTGAAAGAAGGAACGTAATGGGGCAAGGGAGGGAGGTGAACTTACACAGCTCTGGCATAATAATGTCGCTTGATAAATCCCACACAATCTCGCCATCTTCATTCGTCACTACGAAAGGATTAGAAAAAAAAGGGAAACAAGTTTTAGTGGCAGCAGAGATAAGCACACACATGTATAGAGCTAGGGTCCCGGTAACAGGTCCCGTCTACCAGCCCACACCAGCCCACAGTCTAAACCCCCCCACCACACGGCCGGCCTCACCTGCCATAGGGAGGTCTAGACTGTTTTTCAAAACAACATTTTGTGTCATCTACTTCCCTGAATGCTGCGATCTACCTTGGAGCTCCGACAATTTGTCACTGCGGGCAGCCATTATACACAGCGATACACTATGAAAGCCAACAGATGTAAATAGTCCTTGGGAGTATGGTCTAACCCAGTGCACCTCACACCAATAGTGCAAAAAAAAATATACAAATCATCTACGACAACAATATTCTACAGTGATAATCTCAACTCTGTCACACCGTCTCATTGGTCGTTCGCAGCATTAGGCTCGCAGCAAATGACCTCGGGTGTGAAAAAGTCAATAGACATACACAACATGTACCAAAGTTTCCTTCTACTGCTAATGTTAATGACTGCTTGGATATCTCAGTTTTTCATCTTCATTTTTTCATTATTATTGTCATCATTATCATAATTCTCTAAACAGTAATTAATCATTGGTAATTTCAAATTCACATTTTCTTGTTTTCATGTCAATAAGTAAACAAAATGCCAATGCAGTGTTACAAGAAAAACAGCAGATGATGAGGAACAGATCCAGCCTGTTACCCCCGAGGACTACACGAATGTCGTCCTCGACAGTCAACAGACAAGTTAAATGAAGAAAGGGTTACAATTCAAAACGTTTCAAATGCAAGTTGTAATTCTCTTGGTTTGGTGCAGATCCTAGTTCTCCCCCAGATCCAGAGCACTAAGTTGACAAATAAAAGAGACCCAGGGTTTTTATCAACACAGATGATATTAAGTTTCCAATCTTTTATAGCAGTTGGTCAGTTACAGTCTAGGTCTGTACATCAGGTATACAACCAGTTGTGTAAACACAAGAAAAGAAGCAGGTTGGTAGCAGGAAAAGACATGATATATGCAAGAGAAGTTTTAATTATCTTCTTTTGGAAAAGTTAAAAATTTGCTTGGTTGGCAATATTAATGAAGACACTTGAAGTGCTCAAATTAGTTGAAACTTGTCATGAGTTAACGAACAAAAATTCTAGCTTGCAGTATCTATAATGGTAAGGATTAACAGTAAATGTTACCGTGCTTCCGCCTCTCTAATGTTCAGGATTGGTAGGTTGCTTGGTAACTAAGCATTTCAAGGAGAAATTAAACACTAAAATGGCAGCAGTATCTACAGTCCTATAACCAACAACTCGTGGCACTTTCTTTTGGGAGGCTGGTAACACTTACGGTTATCTCCATTCTTCAAATCAGCTGCAGAAAACAGGAAATGGACAACCATTGCTTCGCGATGGGGGCAAAAGTACCGTCACCTCTACATGTCACTACAAAGGTTTTGTCATTGGTGGAGAAACTAGTTTCATGGAAGCTTGCAAGATTTGAAGATATTCAAGCGAAAATGTGCAGGATAAGAATGAAATTTCATATTATTTGATAAAGAGGAAGAAACCCTCTGTTGTTATAATAAACTACAACATCAGTGATTCGGAGCATAAAAAGCATTACTCAGGCCAAAATCAAAGCAATTTCTTCTCCTAAAGGAAGATTATGTAAAGGAAATGAGGATGTTTAGACACAAGGACTCAAGCTTTGGTACCATGTTCCTGTTTCTTTGACAACAGATGTGAAGAGGGACAAGACTATACTTCTACAGGGACCACAATGTCGAGTGGTATACAGACAAGTAACAAAATGGATGTAATCCATGTTCAACATACTGCTTGCTAACGTTTCACAAACTGGGCACGGCTAATACAAAATACCAACTGCTAAAACTTTTGGCATGCAATCAAAATAATCACTTGTTCTTTTTTTTCATTTCTATTTTGGTTTTGTCTTGTTTTGTTTCTTTTTCATTTTTTTCCCAAAATTAGAAAAAATAGCAAAAGGTCAAAGTGCAAGTGGAGCCTGATGGGCAGAGATGTAGATACACAGATATAAATGCTAACAACCCAGATCTACATCAAACCAAGAGAACTCACTCAACGTGCCCCTTGAAAGGCCCCTACCCCGAGCTAGGCTTGTTGGTAACATGACCTCCTTGGGCTGGGCCTTCTTACACTCCACCTACAATATAAGATAGGCATGTTGTCACACGGCAGAGTCAAATCCCTTCGAATTGATTGAAAAAAAATTATTTTCTTTATAAATTTGTATCTATTTATTCTGAATAATGTCACTTACTCGAATAAGATGACTTCATATAAAACAGAGGTAAACAGAATATAGATATTTTATATAATTGTTGTTAAGCTGGTAATGATCTTTTTTTTACCTTACATTGTTTTGCTTACAACAATACAAAAAGATGATGAAATCTGATGTTAATACATGTATATATAAATACTCAAAAAGATTGATAAACTACTTACCCTGTAATACATACAATTATATAACTTTGTTGAACTGGCAAAATGTCATAAAACCATGTTAATATTTCAAACATTGGCCTAAAATTTAAACAGTCAGTTCGTAATATATCAACATGTATGTTCACAACAAACATATTAAATGGAAAAGCAGTATTTTTTTGTCAGCGTTCAGGAAATTTCTAAGATGTGGCAACATCAAATACCTAGTCATTGTTACCATTTTCATACCAAGTCATTGTTACCATTTTCATACCAACAATCATTGTTACCATTTTCATACCAAGTCATTGTTACCATTTTCATACCAACAATCATTGTTACCATTTTCATACCAAGTCATTGTTACCATTTTCATACCAACAATCATTGTTACCATTTTCATACCAAGTCATTGCTACCAATTTTCATACCAACAATCATTGTTACCATTTTCATACCGACAGTCATTTTTTCTAGTCAATTAATACTCCTTAAGGTCCCTAAGGTCCCAAAATATAATTCATGTCCTTCACTTCATGCAATAATCAGATAAAACAGCTGAAAAAACATCAAAAATTAAACAAAACCTGTTGGTGATACCACAAGGCTTAAATTTCTGCCAACAAAAAAAACCCCAAAAAACGCATCTGAACTTTAACAGGGAAAAATGAAGATAATCTCACTCACCATCTTTTTGTTGATCTCATGGAAATGAATATCACACACTTTGTCAACCACATCTTCTGACTCGAAGGTCACGAACCCGAACCCTGAAGGACAAAAAAATGAGGAATAAGTAACAATTTAGATGATACCTAAACAACCGTTGATTAAAGGCAAAGTCTACTATCTGGTTAATCATCAACACAAATTCTAATTTTGTACAAAATTGAAATTTATTAATACAAAACTTTCCCTTTTTTTTAAATTTTCAAATATGCCAAAAACACTAACCAGATAACAGTTGACCGTGCCATAAAGACAAAAAACAACAAGGCCAATATCTTTATGCTTATCAAACTCAGTGATGAAAAGGTCTGCTGCCAGGAATCTACTTAGTGTTGGGATTGTCTCCCTTGCACCACACAACCTTACCAACAATTTATACTAATCATCAGATATCAATTTTACATCTATAAACTGTACATATATTAAAGAATACATTCAAACTTGCAAATTTGCTTCCTCTTTTTCTTTTTCCTTCACAGGGCCAAACATAGAAGTAGACTTACTACTATACTTTTATCCGTCTCTGATATGTCCAGTACGTTTGATTTCTCTCAATAGGAAGAAACTTTCCCACAGGCTCAAGAATTTGATGAACTATTAATAGGTACATTTAATGAAGAAACTGAGGCAGTACCCAAGCTCATTAATCTGATGCATGAGCATGCCAGTTGATGTGTTTTTTAAATTTCCAAATTACGTTAACAAGACTGTTAAGATATTGAAGCAAATTTGTAAGAAAACTTATGGGAATTCTACATAAACCTGAATTGTAAGTAAACCCTGTGATACATCAAAGGAGCAAATTGTCACCTAACTTCTCCTCAATAACATTTCACAAAATACCTCCTCAATAACGATTCACAAAATACCGTCAACATTTCTTTCATGTATTTAATGACAATATTCTTGTATGTTTATTTATCAGCACCAAATGTTTGTTCAAGACATTTGTTGGCTGTGTTTAATTCCACACGGCAAAGATCGAATATATTATCTTTTTGTTAACAAAGGTGGTGTAAGTTTAGTGGTCAGTCTGTTACAACTCTGTGTTTAACCATAACCAGCCCAATATTAGCTATGTCCACATCACAATGTTGCCTTGTGTTTACATCTATTTGTCCTGTTAGCTGCCATTTCCTTCCAACGTGTTTTAGTAAACAAGGCCTTGACAAGGAAGATGTATACCTCGATGCAAAACAAGTCTGAACACAACAGATCCCCAGAGAAACATGTCAGGATATTTTGCCTTTTGTGCTGTTTTCTTTCCCCATTTCTTTCGTGGTTTTCTAAACCATCATCATTTCAAAAAATACTACCTCTAAAAAAATTAATTTACCGTACTTGTTTTCTGATCTACTTGATACTTGTTATTTTATAATTCCCCGCCAAATGTTTTACAGTCAACTTGTTTTCTGGTGACATGTGAATCTTTTTACCAGTTCTTAGATCTGCTGAATTCCCCTGTACAAAGGCCCCTAGATGATGACCGCATATATATCAGACATGAGAATCAGTCCAATTGAATAAAACTAACACAATTTTCCTTTCCTGATCTATACCTTTCCATACCACATAACATGGTAACACACCACTTGACAGACACACTAAATGTACAATGATATTTTCAAAGGAACATGAAACCCAAATGGAATTCAGAAACACATTTATTTTCCTTGCTACTTGTTTTTTCTTTTTTTATTTCTGATAACATTGTTTCATTATCTGCCTCTCCTGAGATCAAAGTGACATGTAACATTCGGGCCGGCAGAAAATATATCATTTCCCAAACTAAATTCAGACTGGAGTTTATGTGATTGCATTTTTGTCCCCCATTTTTTTCCTTTTTTTTTTTTTTTTTTTTAAATTTTAAACAGAACTGCTTTTAATGGTTATCATATTGTGTCTTAATTATTTCACCTAAGTCAATAAGACCATTTTAATGTAATTCACTGCTATCAAATCCATCACCACATTGGAATAAGCGTCCACACAGACCTAGTTAAAAACATGAGCTATGTGAACTGGATTTTCTACTTGTGCTAGTGTAACTCATTAGTTCAACAAGAATTAAGATTATAGCTCTCTAGACATTAATCTACCAGAGTTTAATGTTAATATTAACATCAGATAGCGAAACAAACAACCATGCATGATGGTTAACATATTTTTTATGAATTATCTCCCTTGATAAAAAATACTACCTACAAAAAAGTTAGAAACACATGATACACATGTATGACTTTTTGGCATTGAGAAATGAGTTAAGAAATGAGAAAAAAGTTTTCTATGAGAAAATATTAACTATTTTTACATTAATAAAATGAAGGAAAAATTTTATGAAAGATAAACAGACAAGAGATATATGGAAATTTACATCCCTATGATATCTAAATCTCTTACCCATGGCTAAACCCCAAGATGAGAAATATACACCTTATATTACAGTAGCATATTTTGCTATCCTAAATGGTACTTTCTGAATTTGGGAAAATTTGGTAAGCATGCATGATATATCCACAACAACAGAGCCACAGCACTGTATATGGCCAGTCGTGATTGAGATATGTTCCAGACATGGCAACACAGACTTACAGATAAAATGTGCCCTTATGTTCCGATAGCAGTGTACTACTTTGTGAGCCATATTTTTCATGTTAATGTTGTAATACACCATAAACTAAAAAAATTTGTCAAGAAAACAATTAACAAAAGTTCACGAAGTGCTCATTCCAAAAATGTGAGGTATATATAATTACGACATGTCGGCTCTCTATTACATTACATGCACTAAAACGTATCAAATACTGATGACAAAGCCATTCCTTAGTCCATACAATATATAGCTACTATTCATCTAACACTTTTACTCTTAAGTCTCAAAATGTCTTTATTTTATTTTCTCTGTGTTGGGTCAATGTATTCCATGAGTATCATCCAGTTTCATAATAAATCAGTCTTGATACAAATATTTACTGCCATTGTTTTTCAGCCAGAAACTTCACACATTTTACGGGACCTGGGAGACTACAAATTTTGTATAAAACCCAAGACACGACAAACTTTGTATGATACCTAGGAGACTACAAACTTTGCATGTTACCAAGGCAACTACAAACTTTGTATGTTACCTAGGGGACTACAAATTTTGCATGTTACCAAGGCAACTACAAACTTTGTATGTTACTTAAGACACTACAAAGTATGTATGTTTCCTAGGAGACTACAAACTTTGTATGTTACCTAAGAGACAAGAATCTTTGTATGGTACCTAAGAGATAAAGTTTGTATGTAACCTAGGGGAGTACAAACTTTGTATGTTACCTAAAAGATCACAAAATTCAAACTCTGATCCCTGATCAATGGTCCTCATTTGGCTTATTTCTATATGAAGTATCTAGCTTTTCTTTTAAATTTTGTGAAAATAAGTAAGCATAATGTGAACTGTTGCAAAATCATGCATTGTCTTGATAAAAGTTATTCCAAGAAATAAATCAGATTGGGAAGGGTTGAATATGTCAAAAGTAAGAAAACATAAAGGAGAGTGGGCTAAAAATAATACTGAAGAAACAATGGTACAGGGGTTTTATGTGTCCCTACCACCACTAGGCACAATAACATTGAGAAGGTAGATACTACGTAATACCGCCTCAGGTGTTACCACTATTGCTTGTACACGAATCTACTATGGACAGAAGCTAATAGCCAGCTCATACTGTGCTAGACAGTTGACACTACACAGAATCGGCCTACTCTGTGGCTAGCTACAGATGAAGTATACCATAGGGTCCGCTGACTCTCCTATATTTTAATCCTTTTATGTTCCCCATGGGTTGTGAAGGAAGCCTGAAAAATCAAGTACAACATCAGTATAAATGGATCCAGCCGGACACGCATAACATCTCAACATTGCTGGGCATCAACAACAACTACTTAACGTTCCCATGGAGCATCTGAGAGTTCTCCAAGCTGCAATCAAAACCTTGATAAATATTATGGAAATTAAGTAAGAATATGCATTGAAAAATTTTCCCATCTTCAAGCATAGAAGCAATAGTATAGTGAAAATATGTAGAGTTATCCACCTTTGTTCAAAGATCTGCTGCCGTGCAGCTAGTGTAGGATATTCTAGAGTGAAGGGGAAAACAAAAAGTATACCACTGAGCTATTGGTTTATCACCTAGCTAAGGTCTATCATGTAGGTAGTTCTACCATGTAGCTAGATATATCACATAGCTAAGACTACCATACAAAGCCCATGCAATTTATAACCCTAAAGCTTGATTTAAAACAAGCCTGGATAGCGCAATGCACTAGTGACAAAAGTATGCTGAATAATTCTATCAGTAAACATGCAAAACATACAGACGATTGTATAAGTTATGCCTAATTTACTTTCAAACCAATTATCAAATTAACAGTTAATGTAAAGTTCCTCAATCAAGTTTGATGCAGGTGCCCCTAGCTTTTATATTACAACCTGTCAATTCAAACGCCTAATACAACAATCCATCCCAATAAACAGTCCAACAAAGAATAGGCCCTGTATAGTTTATACATACAAGTGTGGATTGGCTATCTAGACTGCCTCAACTTAATATTACTACCTTCTTGTAACATTCAAAAGCCTGTTGGTTCTTTTGTGCCAAACCACGCCACATTTGCTAATGTTTTGCTGTGGTTATTAAATTGTCAATGAAAACAGGTTCAATAATACTCTCATACGCCAATACATACTTAACTCTTTAAGGACTGGTCAAAATTCACCGACAATAAAACGAGAAAGAAAACAGGAAAAGAAGGATTTGTATTACACAGGTAATATAATGTAGTACCTAACACGATTCTCTGTAGTGACCCACTAACTTTCATTTGGGGCTTTCTTCTCAGATTATGCCCAGTGTCAACAATATGGCCTGATAGCTCGATAACAGGTTATGTTCTGTCTAACATCACAGAGACCACAGTTTTCCTACTCAACAAAAAACCTTGCAGAAAATACTATATTCAAATTATCTGGGTTAACCAGTAAATAAGTAGATTA